TTCCATGACAGCCATGGACCTGACACAATTAATTCATGGCCCCACTCATGTGGGAGGAAACACTCTGGACTTGGTTTTCATCTCTGGTCAGTGGCGGAGTGGTCTGGATATAGGGGATATAGTTATCGAACCCCTGTCATGGTCGGACCATTCTCTCCTGAGACTGGACCTTTTGACCGCTGCACCCCACTGCAGGGAGACGGAACCAACCAGGTGGTTCTGCCCCAGGCGCCTGATGGATCCTGATAGGTTCCAGAGGGAGCTTGGGCCAGTTCCTGAAACTCTGGCTCACGACTCGGCTGAAGATCTGGTGGCTGCCTGGGATAGGACAACCGCCGGTGCTCTGGACCGAGTCGTGCCTTTGCGGCCTCTGACCCGACGCCGAACCTGCCCGGCCCCTTGGTTTTCCGAGGAGCTGAGGGAGATGAAGCGCCGGAAAAGACGCCTAGAGAGTGGTTGGAGGGCTAGTCGCTCCGAATCCGACCGAACACTAGTTAGGTCTCATATTAAGACCTATCTAGTGGCGATAAAAGCGGCAAAGCGTAACCACTTTTCCGCTCTTATTGCATCGGCAGATAACCGCCCAGCCGCCTTGTTTAGGATGACCCGCTCCCTCCTATATCAGGGAGCGCGGGAAGACCCCTTGCAAGGGCAGGCTGAGGATTTTGCACAGTATCTGCACGATAAAATCGCTCAGATTCGGAAAGGCTTGGACTCTGACTGGGTAGATCCCGGCGGGGTGACTGAGGCTGGTCTTGAGAATGTTACCTGGGATGAGTTCGACCCTGTGACTCCTGAGGACGTGGACAGGACCCTGGGGAGGTTAAACACAACCACATGTTTATTGGACCCGTGCCCCTCCTGGCTGGTACTGGCCACCCGGGAGGTAACACGAGGCTGGCTCCAGAGGATCATAAATGCTTCTCTGAGAGAGGGTTTCTTGCCTCCCACCTTGAAAGAGGCGGTGGTGAGGCCCCTCCTCAAGAAGCCTTCTCTGGACCCGGCCGTTTTGGCAAACTATCGTCCGGTCTCCAACCTTCGCTTTGTTGCGAAGGTTGTGGAGAGTGTGGTTGCGCGACAGCTCCCACAGTTCCTGGATGAAACCGTCTATCTAGATCCGTGCCAGTCCGGCTTCAGGCCTGGGTACAGCACGGAGACGGCATTGGTCGCATTGGTGGATGATCTCTGGAGGGCTCGGGACAGGGGTTGTTCCTCTGTTCTGGTCCTGTTAGACCTCTCAGCGGCTTTTGATACCATCGACCATGGTATCATGCTGCGCCGGCTGGAGGGACTGGGGGTGGGAGGCACCGTGTTGCGGTGGTTCTCCTTCTATCTCTCTGACCGGTCGCAGTCTGTGTTGGCAGGGGGGCAGAGGTCGACCTCGAGGTGCCTTGCTTGCGGGGTGCCGCAAGGGTCGGTCCTCTCGCCGCTCCTGTTCAACATTTATGTGAAGCCGCTGGGTGAGATCATCCGTGGTTTTGGCGTGCGATGCCATCTGTACGCTGATGACACTCAGCTGTACATTTCCACCCCAGACCACCCCAATGATGCCCTCGAAGTGATGTCCCAGTGTCTGGAGGCCGTGCGGGTCTGGATGGGGAGGAACAGGCTTCGGCTCAACCCTTCCAAGACCGAGTGGCTGTGGATGCCGGCGTCCCGGTATAGCCAGCTGGTGCCATCGCTGGCTATTGGGGGCGAGTCACTGACCCCCACAGAGGGGGCTCGCAACTTGGGCGTCCTCCTGGACACACGGCTGTCTTTAGAAGAGCATATGACGGCCGTGGCCAGGGGGGCTTTTTATCAGGTTCGCCTGATACGCCAGTTGCGCCCCTTTCTGGATCGGGACTCCTTGTGCACAGTCACTCATGCCTTGGTTACGTCACGCCTGGACTACTGTAATGCTCTCTACATGGGGCTCCCCCTGAGGAGCACCCGGAGGCTCCAGCTGGTGCAGAATGCGGCCGCGCGGGTGATTATGGGAGCGACGTGGTGCTCCCACGTAACACCTCTCCTGAGCGAGCTGCATTGGCTCCCGGTGGTCTTCCGGGTGCGCTTTAAGGTGTTGGTTCTCATCTTTAAAGCGCTCCATGGCTTAGGGCCAGGGTATTTGCGAGACCGCCTGCTGCTACCGATAACCTCCCACCGGCCAATACGCTCTCACAGAGAGGGCCTCTTCGGGGTGCCGTCGGTCAGGCAATGTCGGCTGGCGGCCCCCAGGGGGCGAGCCTTCTCTGTGGGGGCACCCGCCCTGTGGAATGAGCTGCCTCCTGGAATACGATTGATCCCGGACCTCCAGACCTTCCGTAAAGCCCTGAAGACGTTTTTATTTCATCAAGCCAGCCTAGCCTAAATGGTTTTTTTAATTGGGATTTTAAATTTTATGGATTTGGGTAGCCAATGATTTAATTCTTTTAATTATCTTAACTTTTGCATTTGTATGTTTTTTAATTTTGGCTGTTCACCGCCCTGAGTCCCTTCTGGGAGAAGGGCGGTATACAAATTAAATTAATAATAATAATAATAATAATAATAATAATAATAATAATAATAATAATAATAATAATAATAATAAAAAAAAAATGAATATTTTGCCTAAGTTTTTGTTTCTTTTTCAAATGATACCAATACTTAAAAAAGATGAGAATTTGAAGATATGGCAGAAGGGTATTAATAATTTTGTTTGGGCAGGGAAGAGACCGAGAATAAAACAAAAAATAATGCAGGATATACGTGAAAGAGGAGGTCTCAAAATGCCTAACTTAAGACTATATTATGAGGCAGCTGTCCTATCGGCAATGAGTGTTTGGATGAATTTAACAGAAGAAAGAATATTAAATATTGAGGGATATGATTTGGTTTACGGGTGGCATTCTTATTTATTATATGATAAGAAAGTGGACAAGACTTTTAAAAGTCATATATTAAGGAATGCTCTATTGCGTGTCTGGAAAAAGTACAAGTATAAACTAAACGAGAAGTTACCATTGTGGGCAATACCCAGACACGCGATAGAGAATATAAGTGTAGAGCAAAGGCAGGATGTGATTACATATAAAGAGCTTCTTAACAAGGAAAGAGGTATACTACAATTAAAATCTTTGAATCAACTAAGAGAAGAAAGGACAATTCGAACATGGTTTCAATATGTACAGTTGCAAGCTAGATGGAGAGAAGATCAGAAAATTGGTTTTCTGCAAAATGAGAATTTGGTAAAACAGATTAGAGATCAAAGTCAAATGCACACAAAAAGGTTGTATTTATTTATTTGTTTGTTTGTTTGTTTCCATTTCTATACCGCCCTTCTCCAATAGGACTCAGGGTGGTGAACAGCCAGAGTAAAAAACAGAACATACAAAATTTAAAAGCAATTTAAAATAATTAAATATTTTGGCCGTAAATTAAAACAACCCAATTTAAAATCAATTTAAAATTTAACTCAAGCCAGCCCAGCTAGTTGAAATAAATAGGTTTTCAGGGCCCGACGAAACATCCGGGGGTCTGTTATTGTACGTATCTCTGGGGGGAGGTTGTTCCAGAGGGTGGGCGCCACCACAGAGAAGGCTCTCCCCCTGGGGGTCGCCAGCCGACATTGTCTGGCAGACGGCACCCTGAGGAGGCCCACTCTGTGCGAGCGTACTGGCCGGTGGGAGGCTATTGGTGGCAGAAGGCGGTCTCGTAAATATAATGTGTATAATGTGTTGGTAGAAACAGATTCAGAAATGGAGTTAGTTAAGGACTGTATGATAAAGTGGGCACAAAATATTGAGGAATCAATAATGATGGAAACATGGGAAAAAATATGGGTTAGAAATGTGAAGTTCACGCAAGCCCAAAATTTAAGAGAGAATTTTTATAAAATGTTTTATAGATGGCATCTGGATCCTAAAAAGCTAGCCTGTATGTATCCAAGTGTGCAACCTAAGTGTTGGAGATGTGAATGTGATGATGCCACGTATTATCATATATGGTGGGCATGTAAAAAAATTAAGGCATTTTGGATAAAAATATGGTGGATTATTCAAAATATTCTCAAAAAGAAGATAAAATTTACTCCAGTTCTTTTTGTTAGGCATAATTACAGATTGTACTGTTATAGAGACTAAGTTGATTTTAAATTTAATAACAGCAGCCAGACTCTTAGTGGCACAGTACTTGGGGGGAAAGTTGTTGTAATGATTGTTAAAACTTTTTAAATAAAAAAAAAATGTGGCTAAAAAAGGTCATAAAATGGGCCAAAAAGTCACTTAATGATTGCCTTGCTTAACAACAGAAGAATTGGTCTCAATTGTGGTCATGTCAAGGACTACCTGTATCTATTTTAAATGCATTTCCATTTTATTCATACTATTTATTTTACCTTTATGGTTATTCTAATTAGAGCAACTTTTACTAATAAAAATAGAGCCACCTTGATTTTTTTAAAATTATGTTATTGTTATTTGTTGGCTGCTTTGTGAGCAGTGGGAGATGAGCCTCTGTTGTTGGGCCTTGTAAGAAGTGATCAATTTGAAACCCAGCAGGCAATCCCAGGAGGAATATGTAGTATGATGTTATTTATTCCAACGGAGCTCTGCTCCTCCAACATGGCTCCAAGGATGGTGCTTCATCAGACCTGTAGGCCTTCCACAAATGGCTCCACTTTCTCTAGCTTATGCAGACTTCCTTGGATGAAGGCACCTCCACTTGGCTCATTTCAGAGGAAGGCCTTTGCCCTCACCTGTGCCCAGCGGCAGGATGGTTGTGACTGAGGGCAGGTGTGTTTAGATGCTTGCACATTTTTAGCTTTTGGAGTCTGCAGCTGGACCTGAGAATGATGCCCCATCCCAGGTTTGACTCGTTGAAGTGTGACTCCATTGTGAGGAAAGAAGTTCTTGTTTTTCAAGTACTTGCAGAGTCTCTATAAATGCTGATTCCAGAAGTTTTTTTCTTCTGAAAAACAAAGTCACCAATGACAGTCAATCGATTCATTCTCTCTTTCCTTTTTCTCTTCACACTTTTAGACAGAGATTGCCAAGAGACTGAACACGATTCTCGCCCAGATCATGCCTTTTCTATCACAAGAGGTAAGACACTCTTTGGAATGCGGGGAGACTTTGCAGGGCAGAAAGTCTAAGCCAGACTTGGGATGCCCCTTTATAGCCCCCACTGTCAAAATCTGCCTCCTGCATCTTTCCTGCCCACCCCCCTCCCCCAACCCAAGGAGCATGGCAAGAGCATGCCTGTGGCAGGAATGCCAGGGGCACAGTTTTGCTTTCACCTGGAGACAAGCGTCTGTCCTCTCCCTTCTGTACCTAAATACTTTGGAATACTTTCCCCTCTTCTAAGGCCACCTGCTTGCAAAGCTGCCTGAGCCTGTCACAGTCCTCGTGGTCTGTGTCCTGTGCCAGGCCAGATGGCAGCCTGGTTTCAATATGCCTGTTTTTCTTGAATGAGGTGCGCATGGGGCAAAGACCCAGAGTCCCATCTGCCAGTTTCTTGGCTGCTGATAACCACTTCCTTTTGTGTGGCATTGGTTGCCTCCCTGCCCCTTCCACCCCCTTCCTTTTTGCTCTGGGACAACTTCTTTGCTTAGGCATGTTGGCTGGTGATATTTAAGCTTTCTTTTCCTAAATATTGCTGTTTTAAAGACTTGCTCACTAGATGCGATTGGCTTGAGCCAATTATGGGCCCTAATGCACTAGTTACTTCTTCTCTTGCCAAGTCTAGCTCATTTTTTCCACTCTCCAAGCTAGTAATTGAGCTGCAGTATTGGGAAATCTATAACTGGTTCCCTTCATCCCTCACCCACTGGTCTGCCTGCTGGGGCACAGCATTGCACCATCTAGACAGCCACATATTCTCCCCCCTTCCCTCGCTCCCTCCCTGTCAGTGCCATTTTCTTAATGACCGAGCAAGGACACGCAAGGAGTGTGGCTTGAGAATCTGGTGAGCCTTCTCTTAGGCTTCCCCACCAAGTTGCAAGAGCTCTGGACTTCTCCTGGGGCAATACCTCCAACTGTTGAATTGGCTGACTTCTGAATCATAGGTATGCCCTCAGAAGGCTTCCATCTTTCTGCCTGTCTTTCCACAGCACCAGCAGCAAGTGGCTCAGGCAGTTGAGCGGGCCAAGCAGGTGACCATGACGGAGCTGAATGCCATCATTGGGGTAGGTGGAGTTGTGATCGCCTCTCATTGAGGGCATTCATTCTGCTTCTATTGTGTACCATGAACCAAGGCAGAAGGGCAGCATAAATGACTTAGATGAAGGAATAAAAGGGGAACATCAAATTTGCAGATGACACTAAACTGGCAGGAATAGCTAGTATCCCAGAAGACAAGCTCAGGATCCAAAAAGATTTTGACAGACTTGAACCCTGGGCCCTATCCAACAAAATGAATTTCATTGTGGAGAAAAGCAAAATTTTACATTTAGACAGGAAAAATCAAAAGGTGTAAGTGTAGATTAGGCGAAACCTGGCTCAAAAACAGTAACTGTGAGAGGGACCTTGGAGTCCTAGTGGATGATTATTTGAATATAAGCCAGCAGTGTGCAGCAGCAGCCAAAACAGCTAATACAATCCGGGTTGTATAAAGAGAAGCATAGAATCAAAATCACATGAAATATTAGTACTGCTTTACAAAGCTTTAGTAAGACCACACCTGGAATACTGCAACCAATGTTGGTCACCACACTACAAAAGAGATGTTAAGACTTTGGAAAAAGTAAGATGATCAAAGGCCTGGAGACTAAAACCTATGAAGAACAGTTGCAGGATTTGGGTTTGGGTATTCCAGTATTTGAGGGGCTGCCACAAAGAAGAGAGGGTCAAATTATTCTCCAAAACACCAGACAAGAAACAGTGGTTGGAAACTAAAGAAAAAAGTAACATGGAATTAAGGAGAAACTTCCTAACAGTGAGGACAATTAACCAGTAGAACAGCTTGCCTTCAGAAATCATGGGTGCTTCATCACTGGAGGTTTTTAAGAAGAGACTGGACAGCCATTTTTCTGAAATGGTGTAGGGCCATGATGGCGAACTTATGGCACATGTGCTGGAAGTGGCACGCAGAGTCATCTCTCTCGGCACGCAAATTGTTGCTCTTCCAGGTTCTGGCGCGCTGACCAGCTGGTCTTCATGCATGTGGGAGCACCGGAAACCGGAAGAGCAGCCACCCAGTGTGCATGCGCATGCCAGGAAGATGATCTTCTGGTTTCCAGGTCATGCATACGCACCAGCCACCTGGTCTTTTGGTTTCTGGCATGCATGCGCGTGCGAAGCCAGCTGGCCGGTGCCCATGCACACGCTGGAAACGGGAAGATCATCATCTGGGCGGCTGCTCTTCTGGTTTCTGGTGCGCATTTTGGCACTCGGTGCTGAAAAGGTTCACCAACACTGGTGTAGGGTCTCCTGCAAGAGCAGGGGGTTGGACTAGAAGACCTCCAAGGTCCCTTCCAGCTCTATTCTGTTCTATTCTCTCATTCTCTGGGGATAGCATGAGAGAACCTAGCTGACTGGCTGGCTTGGGCTGCTGGACTGTGGGCCTCCACAGGACTCCTAGAAAGGGCATGTGGGGGAAAGAAGATGCATCTGTAGTCAGTGACGGTGATGTGCCAGTCAAAATGTGGGCACCGGGGATTGTGCCACAGCAGGAAGCATCCGCTTTGGGTTACCATTTCTGTGCTGTTGCACAGGCAAAGGGAGTTGCTGCTTGCGGCTTTCGTTCCCTGATTGTCCAACAGCACATCTCGAAAAACTGTCCTCATCTAGCAGTCATGGGGTTAATGGGAATTCCTCCAGAGCCATGTTCAAGCATTGCATTTAGCCTAATATTAAGTTCACAAGATTTGCTCAGCAGTTTCAGTACAGATATACAGATTAAGAGAGTTGGAAGGGACCTATGGGCTGTATTATCCCTTAGTCCAACCCACCCCACCCCCCACCCACCCCCAAGCAGGAGACCCTACACCATTTCTGACAAATGGCAGTCCAGTCTCTTCTTGAAAGCCTCCCACCACTTCTGAAGGCAACTTCTGTTCCATGGGCTGACTGTTCTCAGTGTCAGGAAATTTCTCCTTATTTCCGGGTTGAATCTCTCCTTGGTCAGTTTCCATCCATTATTCCAGTAAGGTTCCTATGACTTCCCATGCATCCCCCTGAGGTGATTGTTCTCTTTCTCTAATTAAAAATTGTCCCGAAACCATCAGCCCTTCTGCTTTTATTGGGCTTGGTCTGTCTCTCTTTTCCTGCTCTAGTGAAAATGAGCTTCTCTCAGATGGGGGGCTAAAAGTGAGGCCCCTGCCTTTGTAGGGCTTGGCCAGCCAATCCTGTTGGAGAAAAGACCACCATTCTTAATGCCACATATGTTAGCTGGAATGTTCGCCTCAGTGCTGGGAAGTTCTGCTTTGGGGTTCTTGTTTGAAGGTCCTTGGTGGGAGCCTGGAGTCAGGAAGGTTCCCCTAGGACTGAAGCAGGGCTCCTTCTCACGTGCCTTGCAAGAGGAAACCCCCCCCCCAACAGAGGCCCCTGCTTGTTTTGTGGAGTAGCCAAGAGCTCATGGAACAGTTGGAGGGGCTCTGCTGCAGTTCTTTATGTTTGGAAAAGTTTACTTGTGAAATCTATGCTGTATTATCCCCTTGTTGCACACACATACACCCAATCTTGCAGGGCTGCCTTTTTTCTTATTTTGCTCTAGTCTGATTCATCGCACATCCCACACTCATAGACAAAAATTGGTCCTTGCCTGTATTCTTGATTTGTTGTGGGTCAGTATCCTCCTTTGGGACAAGTGTGATATATGCTTCCAACCATATTTGGGTATTTCCATCTTTAACATTACTTCATTCATAACTTCTAGCAATGGAAGACTCAGTGATTCCTGTAAAGTCTTATAGTATTCCTCTGGCAATCCGTCTGGGACTGGTGCCTTCCCATTCTTTTGTTTTTTAAGTGCTTCAGTTAATTCTATCATCGTTATGTTTCCTTCTAGCATTATTTCAGTATCCTTAGAAATCTGGGGTAAATTCGCCTTGTGTAGATATCGTTTTAACACTTTCCTCCTCTATATTCTCTTTTTCATATAATTTTTTATAATAATCTTGTATGGCTACCTTCGAGACCGCCTTCTACCGCATAGCTCCCAGAGACCAGTAAGATCCCACAGAGTCGGTCTCCTCCGGGTCCCATCAGCTGAACAATGTCGGCTGGTGGGCCCATGTGGGAGGGCCTTCTCTGTGGCTGCCCCGGCTCTCTGGAACCAATTACCCCCTGAGGTCCAGACTGCCCTCGCCCTACTGGTCTTCTGGAAAGCGGTGAAGACCTGGCTCTTCTGGCAGGCCTGGGGCCGTTGATCTCACTATGGTGATCTTGCGAGACCCGGCCACGAATTGGAGTGTATGGGTTTTAATGTTTTCTTTTAAACTTTTGTATGGGATATTGTTTGCATTGTTTTATTCTCTGTTGTTAGCCGCCCAGAGTCCCTTGGGAGTTGGGCAGCATAAAAATGCGACAAATAAATAAATAAATAAATAAATAAAACCTTTGGGTGGCCGCATGGCAGGTCAAAATCCCAAGCAAATATTGGGGACAATTGCTTCCTGGAGGAGTCATGCTACAGTTCCATGTATCTCCTTGGGAAGCCACTGCAGACAGCCATGCAACGGGAGCTTTACCAAAGCAGATGTATGTGCCTGGTGGCTTCATTTTGACCCGTAGTGTTTGGGATTTGTATCAGCTTGGATGGGAAGAAACCAACTTGGTTGCTTTTCTTTTTTAATTATCCTTAGGTATTAGGAGAGGGCAAAAGGCCCATTTTCCTTTTCTTCCTCCGTCACTGCTCCAAAGCCTGAGTCTATGCTTTATGCAGACTGCACACTTTTCCTGTTTTGGTCCAACATGAGAGGCTTCCCCATAGATGTTATTATGCCAAGTGTTTTTTTCCAATCATTTGTAAGCCCATTTTTACAACCCTAAAACATCAGCTGGGGGTGGGGGGGAGATATTCTCAAGCTGAAATTCTCAGGATAGCATTTCTCCTCTTGCCTTGAGAATAGGGTTACCATTTCTGATTCCTGATAGTTTGAGGATCAGAACTGGAGCCTCCCTTTGACTGTCTTTCCTGCCTGTGCAGAGATATCTAGGACAGATGTCCCCAACCTTTTGGACCTCAGGGACCATCAAGTTCATAATTTTAAATCCCGCAGACCACTAATATGAATCCAACGCGCCGCCCTGAGTCTCCGGAGAAGGGCGGCATATAAATCAAATTAAAAAAAAAAAAAAAGAAGCTCCACAGCTCTATCTGGCACATTAGAGAGTAGTTGAGTTACTAGTTTCTTTTAAGATGCCACAAGGTGCTTACATTTTCCCCTTCTTTGAAAACTTTCCAAATAGGAATAGGGTAGAAATCCTATTGTGGGAGCTTAAAATGCAGATGAAGATGCAGTCCCTCCCAGAACGTTTCCTTCCCACTTAGTGGGGGTCTCTTGGTCTGGGCATTCTCTTGAACCCAGGTCCCCTCGTTAGCACTAACCTCCTGGTATGCAAGGAGCCCAAAGCCGGAAGGAAGCAGAACAAAGTGGTGGGGGAGGAGGGGCCGCCCCAGGCCAGCCTTTCTTCATGACCCTAACTGGACTGTCCTCCCTCCCTCCCCTGCCCACTTTGCTTCAGGCCTTTGAAAGTGAGCCCTGGTTCACTTTGTAGCTCTGGAAATGATTAGAAGGCTTGAGCAAATTTAATGAAAGTGATGAACCATTAAATCAGTAACAAAGCCATGAAGCAGGATATGCATAATCCAATTAAAACTGCTCAACATCCCAAGATGTTCCACTGCCAGATTTCCTTATACATTCTTGTTGCCGTTTTGCCATATGCAGTGTGTCTTTGAAGTGAACAATAGGTGTGTTGATTGCTAGTTTTCCCTCCAGTGGGAAGTGGCTCCAAGGCCAAAGTAGAGCTAGAGATATGGGGGGGGGAGGATTGGAGCTCAGCAGTTGTCCAGCTGTGCAGATCGATCCTTTGGCACTGATATAAGAAGGAACACAACATGGTGCAGCTGACCAGGGCTGGGCATGATGTTTGAGGAACGAGAGGGTTGCAGAGTCCTGCCAGGGAGAACTGGAAGAACTGGGGAGGGATTCTAGTTCAGGGGTCCCCAACCTTTTGGATC